TTGCCACATAGTTTAACTGAACATGTATGCCAGCAACAACAACTGGATCTAAAACAGAGCAACAATTTTAGTTCTTGTTTGCAGATTAATCCGTGGGTATGCAAACAAATCTTGCTATGTTCAGAAGCAACAGAAGCCATTTTTAAGTTTAGAGTGTAGTTATGGTCAGAAAAATAACTAGAAATGTTATCAGTGTTATCCATCAACCAAACTACACACTATCACCTGACTGTAGAAGAGTTATTAATGACTATTAAGGGCTTTGGGTACTATTACAGTGAAAAGTCACTTCTGCAAACAAAGCAGCAATCTAGTTTTCTGATTAAAAAAGGTCCAGTAAGTGTACTTCACCATGCAGTTTATAAAAAACTAGAAGATTTACCCAGCATTGTTCAGGTCCTTAACTCAAATACGTTTTGTTTTTTTCTTCATTTAAATCATTGTTCTGAGGTGGGGCTAAGGGTGAGGAAGTTAGTATGCAAGCTGCTCTGGGAAATAGAACAATCCTTCTCTCACTGCAGCACCTTATGGCCAGATGAGACATGCCAATCCATGGCTGCTGCAGCTACAGCAAACATAGCCTGGGGAGGTGCACATGTCTCCCAGCTGTGGGGGACACACACACAAACTGAAATACACAGTAGATAGCTGTCCCTTTCTCCACTCTGTCCCATGCTGCCCCAATAGGGTTATAGTTGCTGGGCCCCCATCTCTGGCTCTGTGGTGTCCCTTTGTGTTTTTTCTACAGTATAACTGTTTCTCTTAACAGATCCCTCCCTTTCCATTTTATGAGAAGCCATCAAATTCCAGGCACATCCCATTGTTCTGGCACAACCAAACCCTTACCTTGCTCTAGAATCTAAGTTATGATAAAATGAAGCTGCATACCAATGTGGTAGTTCTAGCACTTGCCGTTTAGAAGGTGTTCTTAAAGGGACTCACAAAATGGACAGAAAGACAGACAGATGCACATTTCTAAAATATATAGTAAGAAGATAGAATCATAGAATACTAGGACTTGACGGGACCTCGAGAGGGCATCGAGTCCAGTCCCCTGCCCTCATGGCAGGACCAAATACTGTCTAGACCATCCCTGATAGACATTTATCTAACCTACTCTTAAATATCTCCAGAGATGGAGATTCCACAACCTCCCTGGGCAATGTATTCCAGAGTTTGACCACCCTGACAATTAGGAACTTTTTCCTAATGTTCAACCTAAACCTCCCTCGAGAGGGCATCGAGTCCAGTCCCCTGCCCTCATGGCAGGACCAAATACTGTCTAGACCATCCCTGATAGACATTTATCTAACCTACTCTTAAATATCTCCAGAGATGGAGATTCCACAACCTCCCTGGGCAATGTATTCCAGAGTTTGACCACCCTGACAATTAGGAACTTTTTCCTAATGTTCAACCTAAACCTCCCTTGCTGCAGTTTAAGCCCATTGCTTCTTGTTCTATCCCCAGAGGCCAAGATGAACAAGTTTTCTCCCTCCTCCTTATGACACCCTTTTAGATACCTGAAAACAGCTGTCATGTCCCCCCTCAATCTTCTCTTTTCTAAACTAAACAACCCAATTCCTTCAGCCTTCCCTCATAGGTCATGTTCTCTAGACCTTTAATCATTCTCGTTGTTCTTCTCTGGACCCTCTCCAATTTCTCCACATCTTTCTTGAAATGCGGTGCCCAGAACTGAACACAATACTCCAACTGAGGCCTAACCAGCACAGAGTAGAGCGGAAGAATGACTTCTCGTGTCTTGCTCACAACAC